GGTGCTCCTGCCCATGGCAGAAGGGCTGGAACTAGATGCTCTTTAAGGTGTCTTATCATCCAAACCATTTTATGATTCCATGACTTTCTGATAAAAAGGGGGTTTCTGAGAAACTGAACCCTTTCAAATCCCACCTTGTATGGGCAGGCTTAGAACTCTAGAAATCACAACACATGCTCRCTTTCATCCACGCCTGCATGACTGATAAAGTGATGATTCTCTGCTATTTTCATCCCAAAGCAACATCTTGGGTGCCCTGCAAGCAATGTGCAATGCAATATTGCTAAAATAATAACCACTTTGGCTGCATATTACAGCAACTTGCACAACACTTAACAAGTGTGGTATGACACAAACTACTGCTTAGGCTCAAAATCGTTTTTCAGAATTAAGAATTTCTATATGACCCATTTCCACTATTGCTTTTTTTTTCTCTAAGTACTGCTACTAAGTACTTTTTTTTTCGGAAGTACTCATATGACAATCCCCTTCTCCATGGGTCTACTTACATCATTCAACAACCATAGATTTGCTAAAATGGCTTAGGAAGGTTTAGCTACCACTGCCCAGTCCATGGCACATGTCCAGGGTCTTTGGAGGCCTGGAAGAAGCCCAGGCAGAGCAGCAAACAGCCAAAGCACAGAAAGATAAATTTACTGTGGTCAAGAATCCTTTCTCCTCTGCAGACCCAGTACCTGGTGCTGTGTTCTAGGTCTTTCTCAGGAATGCCTGGTTTGCTGAGGGCATCTGAGTGATTTTATAACCGGGTGCATGCAACACAGCTGTTGATGCAGTGCCTCCATGTTTGCTGCATACACCCATGTTTCTGTCAGGAGGGAGTGACTGACATGAGGTTTGAGCACATATTACACCATCATGGRTCCTGGTTGTACCCACGTAGCTGTGGGTCTATTCCCTGCTTGCATTAGTTGATCCCATGTACATCTGTGCTAACAGGATCTCCACCTGCATTCTTATGCTATTTAACTGTGATCACTAGGAGCTCAGGAAAGCCAGCCAGACCAGAACGATAAGTGTATGCCAGCTGAGTGTTTTATTTTGGGTAYCTAGTTGTCCTCAAAAACCCAAAAAGGCCCAACAGAGAACAACAGAGAACATTGCACTCATTTTCTCTGAGCCTCAGTTTCTCCACATGTAAAGTGAGAATATGTGCACTTGTCTTCATAGGATGTCATAGATTGTCAAATAGGGGAAAATGTACTTATTTAGGTCCTCCTCTGTGCCTTAGTGAACAGAACAGCAATGCCTTCACAAACATCTTGTTAGTGATGCAGTTTCTTGAAGCCTTGGACATTTCCTCACAATGCATCCATGCTTGGCATACCCATCTTCTGAAGAAAGGCTCTGACAAGTGAGAAGGAATAAATGCAGAAATCATAATGAACAGGCTCAGAGACCTCAGGTGTGGTCACAAATCCCATTGATCAGAACACTAAAGGGTTGAATGTATTATGAACCCTTTGCTAGGAATGTGGTCTACTCTAGTTTTCTCTGTTGCAGTTAATACTACAAATATTAAAGCAATTCCTGCCTTCAGATCTTAGAACGAGAACTTCTGTGGATTGTCTCAGTGGAAATGCACTCAAAGAGACACTAAAACAAACTTGCTCTCCAGAAGAAGAAATTTCTATCAGCTTGGGAAACTGCCACTTGTGTGACATTAGATGTAAAAAAGGACTTGAGCAACTCATCTCAGACATTCTTTCTTGTGCTGCACATTAAAGCTGTGGATGAGTCAGTATGGCTGAGTAGGAGAACCAGACGGATTTGAATCACTACTTTCCCCCCATCTCTGAAGCAACATTATTTCCATGCAAATAATTTTGACCTCGGAGTTATAAAAGAAGAGCAGCCTTAGTAACAAAATGCTGGCTCCCTTGACAACACTGACATGTTTAGAAGTGTAAAGGTCTAATATACAGAGTWGGAAAGGCTCCATAGTTCAATACACTCAACCCAGGGAACCTCAATCCTGGTTAGACACATCCTTCAATGTGAGGCACTTTGCTGTTGTCTTAATCTGTTTTGTTTTGCACAAAAAAATCTTGCCCAGATTTCTGATTTCAAGTCAGAGGTAAATGGCAGCAGTGGCAATGTGGATTTGAGCAAAAATTCTGGTTTCACTTGTGTTTGCAGTTGCTGACAGTGTCATGAGGACATGGTCTGCATTCCTGAAAGGCCAATTGCCTTTCACTGGTTACCCTCAGTCCTTCTGGGTGCTCATGAGGACAGGCAGGTGTGGCAATAGATGGCCCTATCTCATGCAATTAGTTGAGAAAGACTTGATCCCGCTCCAACACGAACAATCTGCAGTGTGTCCCCAAAAGTCCCTGTAACAAATGAGGGGGAACACAGGGCTGCTGCAGACATGATAATTCAGGTTGCTCAGAGGGTGACTTGGCTGCTGCAGTACTGAGGGCTAGGTGCCATCTGCTCAGCTTAACTCTGCAAAGTTATGTTAACCTAACTGGAGCAAAAGTATTTGAAAGTAAAGCAAGGGAATTTTTTTTTAGGGAAACAGTGAACATAGCTGAATATAATAATTTCATTGCCTAGTCCTTAATTTCCAGTTTGAATACATTACCAAATATTTCCCAAAATAGGGACCTTACACAGAACTTCATAAAGTGGCTTGTGCTTACTAAAATAATAAAAGCTATATATTGACTAAATAAGCACATACCATCTGCTTCTCTTCAACCTTCACGTATTTAGCCTGTTCCTCTAACCTGGCTACTTTTTTTGAAGTTTTTTTATTATGCAGAGACAAGCAATATACCAAAGCAAGACAAGACAGATATACCAAATTCTCATCCTGTGAGCAAACCATATCAGCAGGTTTGAATGTCTGATGGAGAGCCCAAAGCAATCTTTGTGTTTTAAAGAAAGGTAATATCCCTGTGGTTCACTGACAAATAGATCTGGATTGTATTTCAATTCTCAGAAGCTAGAGTATCCATCTYCTTCACTTCAGTGCTAATAGCACATGGAAAGCAAAACATGTTTAACTCGCATCAAGCCTTTGGTGTCTCTGCTTTTTGTAACAAAGAAGTGTTTGCTGTGAGATGGTGGCAGGGAAAAAAAGCCCCACTCACCTATTTACAGATTATGAGACAAGAGTGCTGTCTTCCAAGACTAATTTTTTTCAACACTGGTGTATTGTATTTCCAACATTGTCCTGGTACATTTCCAGAGGTGTTATATAGGAAAGGTTTTTAATTTCTTTTGTAGTTTCTTACCATTTTCTTTTTCCTTTACTTTCTTCTTGTTCCTTTCTGCCTTTTCTTCCTTACTCTTCTCCTCCATTCTCCTAGGAACTGGTAAAGAAGACAATATGTAGAAAAGTGTCTTTATTCTTATCATCCAATTCGAAGTAGGATGTTTTGTAATTTTACTTTCAAAGAGTCAGACAGCCATTGAGGTAACTGTGTGGCACTCACAGGAGCTACTGWCCTCTCAGAGAGGCTGGTATCTGTGCAGAGCCAGGCAGAGATTCRCCCCTGTGGGAATGAGCTATGCACAGACCTGTGTGAGGCCAATGGGCACCRCAGCCCTCACCTGCTCCCAGACCCACCTGGCAGCATCCAGGTTGGCAGGAGAGTGACTGGAGACCCAGCATTCAGCCCAGACAGGGGGCAATGTGGGATGAACAGGAGCTGGCACAGGGCACTGCAGTGGAGCTGGAAGATTTCCTCTTCTGAAAAGGGAGTTTTYACAAGGGCATGTAGTCATAGGACAAGGGCCAGTGGTTTTAAATTGAGAGAAGGTGGGTTTAGATTAGACATGAGGAAGAAATTCTTCACCATGAGATTGGTGAGACATCAGAACAGGTTGCCCAGAGAAGCTGYGGYTGTCCCATCTCGGGAGATGTTCAAGGACAGGTTGGACGGGGCTTTGAGCAACCTGATGTAGTGGAAGCAACCTSATGTTCCTGCCCATGGCAGAGAGGCTGGAACTAAATACTCTTCAAGGTCTTTTCCAAACAAAGCCATTCTGTGATTTTATGATTTTATGATTTGATGAGTTGCTTGCACCCRTTTATGAAATCCCTCATTTGCCTTCAGCAAACCAGGCATTCCTGAGGCAGAGCAGGGATTGGGTCTGCAGGCAGGATTCCTGCCTGCAGTAAATTTACATGCCTGGGCTGCTTACTGCCCTGCCTGGGCTTCTTGCAGGCCTCCAGAGACCCTGGACAAATGCTATGGACTGGGCAGCAGTGGTTAAATCTTCCCAAGCCGCCGTAGCAAATCCGAAGTTTTTGAGCTATGTAAGCCAACCCATGGAGAAGGGGATTGTCATACTGATGCTTTGCTGGGGAAAAAAAAGGGACAACCAGTGTTCCAGTAAAGCTGAAAAGTCTTGTTATTTGTAGGGGGAGTAAATGAACAACAGTCCAATGTGGGATGGGTGGTGGAGATAYCGGCTGGGCATCCCCGGCAGGGCGCCAGGGTGGGAAGCGCGGATGGTGGGCTCTGGAATCCGACGGTGCGCACGGCAGCTRCCGGGACTCAGGGCAGCTCCCCTCGTACTCCGGGACATCTCCGTTCTGGCGGACCGTCCCAGGAGGAGACGGACCGCAGCACGATGGACACGACGAGACCACGCCAGTCTGCCTCTGTGGCTCTCCCAGAGCTCCTGTGCCTTCACTGGGACGTGACTCCGAAGACTCCCCATCACTACGACCCCTCAGACGTTCACCCGTGGCGGAAGAGTTGGGGGAGAGAGGGAAGTCTCCGGAGATGCCCCGACACCGACCCGCCAGGAGGATGGCAAACCCCCACGGTGCCGCGGACTGCACCTGCGGGAGATGCCCGCACCGTGCCCCGCATTCCGGGACGCACCGCAAGGCCGGGCGAGCGCTCCCGCCGCTCCCAGGGGGCGCCCCGCGGCGCCGGTGCCGGTGCCGGGGCGGTGCCGGGGCGGGCGGCCGCCAATGGTGAGGCGGGGGCGGTGCGGGCGGTGCAGGAACACCCGGGAGGTGACAGGGACGCACCGCCCTCCCGTTGGCGAGCGGGCGCCGGCGAACATGGCAGAGGAGCGGCGCTGAGTCCGCGCGGCCGCCCGGGAAGGGCGCAGGGTCTCCCCTGAGAGCCTCGGAAGGGAGCGCAGCGCCGGCGCCTCCGCGGGGCTGTGTGTGATGGTGCGAGCATGGCGGAGCAGCCGGCGGCCGCGGCGCTGCTGAGGCGGGGGGCGGCCGGTCCCGGCCCCGGCGGCGGCGGCGGCGACGGCGGCAGCAACAGCAGCAGCAGTAGCAGCAGTATAGAGCGGGGGCTGCCTCCCTCTCCCCGCTGAGAGAAGGAGGGAGCGCCTCGCCTCGCCGCCGCCATGCTGCCCGGSGTGGGGGTGTTCGGCACCGGGCTGACGGCGCGGGTGATCGTGCCGCTGCTCAAGGCGGAGGGCTTCGCCGTGAAGGCGCTGTGGGGCCGCACGCCCGAGGAGGCGGAGGAGCTGGCCAAGGAGATGAGCGTCCCTTTCTACACCAGCCGCATCGACGAGGTGCTGCTGCATCAGGACGTCGACCTGGTCTGCGTCAACCTGCCGCCGCCGCTCACCCGGCAGGTCGCCGTCAAGACCCTGGGTGAGTGTGGGCGGCCGGGGGGGCGACCCCGCCTCGGRCTCGGGGTTCGAGCTCGAGTCGGGCTGAATGGAATTGAGCCGCCCCTCAGCGCGGAGTTTTCCCTTCGCTTTACTCTTSACCCCTCTTCCCCATTCTCCGTGTCTCCGGAAACGGGCTGGCTGAGCCGCGGATTCAGGCCGAGGACCGGCGGGGCGCGGGGTATGGCGCCGCGGCAGCTCGGTGTGACATCCCGTATCCCCGGTCCCCGCCGGCGAGGTCCCTTGGCACCGGGGGACCCGCCCCTCCGGGATACTCGGGCAAGCCTGGGCAGGGCAGGGCCGGGCCTGACACCCAACGGTGCGGGAGGGAGAGCAGGTGTCATCCATGTCGTGGTAAAAAGGAGAAAGTCGCGGTAGAAGGGAGGAAATAACCATCCCGCCCGGGATGTTTGGCCGGCGGTTCCCATCCGCGCCTGGCAGGGCAGCGGGGATCCGAGCATGGCTCCCGCCCTGGGGAAACCGCGCTGCTCGGGGAGTGCGGGTGTCCGCGCTGCCCTCGGCCTCGGACCCCAGGTGGGAAGCAGGCAGGGAGGCAGGAAGCGGTGACAGCAGAGGAAACGATGTTGCAGCCGAGGCTTAGCGAAGCTCACGTACAAAGGGAAGGAGGGACTGAGAAAGTAGGCATGCACTGTGGTGAGCTGCTCTGGTTTCAGGCGTGCAAAAACGGGTCGCATCTCGCTTTCTCGTGTATGGGTGCAAGTCTGGGCTTTACTCTTCCAGCTTCTTAATCTCTGGTYCCCGGACACTGGCTTTCCGATGGATTTTAGTGGAAGCATCCTCTGCAGTAAAGAAGTCTTAATTTGTCCCCACAGATATAGGTGGGGGAAGAGGCGGATGAAAATGACGGGAAAACGCTGCGAGGTGTCGTCGCAGAGAGCGTGGAGGTTAATGAGCCTGGGCGGCTGGTTCGGCTCTGGGGCTGCGGCTATGTAGGCTGATTGCTATCTCTTTCAGCCTCATAAATGTGTGTGGCATGTCGTAGTGTTCCATTGCTACTAGCATACTCATTAGAATTAGTCGCCATTCAAATGCTGCTAATATYGCAGCCAGCTAGTGTTTTCAACATTTAAAATCAAGCAATTAAGGAAATTAAGTTAGCACCTAAAGAAAAAATCCTGTCTTAAGTACAGTGTAAGCATTTGTCTGGAATCTTTGCTCAGTGTTTATTTGGAGATGCTTGTTCTTTGAGTCAGAACRTTTGCTTTTCTTTTACAATACACCTTTCCTGAAGCTGCTACACTTGCACCAGAAGCCTGACTTGCTTGCCAGAATGATGTGTGGGTGAATTTGTAATGTAGAAGCAATGAATGCATATCCCACAAAATGTACATAAAGGACAGTGTGAGGTAGCAAGGTTTCACGTTTGGCACACATTAATTTGATGACAATTGTGTCAGTTTTCCTGTAACACTCTTCCTGCAGGTGCTGTTCAGGGAAGTGTCCTGGCTTGCCTGTGCTCTTGGAGGTAGAGTCCCATGAGGTTTCAGGCAGACACAAGGCATCTGGTAGAAGAACAAAATTTCTGAAATAACAAAGAAACACAATTGGTGTGCTTTTTCTCAGAAGACCAGACACATGTCTAGCATGATAAAGTAATAATATATTTTGTCCTCTGAATATTTRCAGCTAAAGAAGAAAAAAAAAATCTGTTCCAAATGTGAGCTGAATTTATGAATGGTTCTATAAATTTATATACTTAATGTTAATGGTAACTTGCTGATGCAATCTGCTAGCAACAGACCAGAGCAGGAAAAAACGTGTTTTCTCCCTGTTTTATTAGAACAGCACCATTCTTGGTTCCCTTTTGCCTCTAGTTAAAGTGTTTCCTCTCTTTCCCCAGCAGTTATTATTTGTTGTAGGGGTAACAAAGTTTGTGTAAAAATGCATGGAATGGTCATTAAACAGGGATTAAACAGGTTACAAGGCAATAATGTGCAACATCTGGGTTTTTAAAAATTTTTTGCTTAAAGGATTATTACAGAAATATATCTTGGTCTACAAATAACTCCTCTCGCAATTATTTCAGAGGTAAATTTCTCAATTTTTAAAATAGAGACATTGGGTCTATAAGAATGGAAGTTCTTAGATGTTCTTATAGGTGCAAACAGGGAGCTGGAGCAGCAGTTCCCAAACTGCTGAGAGGAATATTTCTCTGCTGGCAGCTCCATCTCCTGGTCCTGCCTGTCTTTCATGGCTTGGGAACTGCTGTGCCTTGGAACAATTATTTTCCTTTCATCAATGAATTTTCTGGTTTATGGGAGAGAGTGCAATTCAAGTGGGAGATTCAGAAGYCTCTGGTAAACAGGGGCCATGTTGTATAGACTGAGGAAAGCAAAACATGGACAAACATTCCTCACTCTTGAAATTTCACACATGAAATGTCATGTATCAGCTAGTGATAGGACATAGATGGGGATAGCAGAGGTTTTACAGATGGATGCTTTAGAAGGTCTAAACATGATAAACATTGCAGTGGAAGAGGTTGAGGAAGATAGGAGCTGTTTGTTAATAGCATGCATGTCTGGCTTCTGTGTTACAGGGTGCATTTCTGGCCTGGGAAGAGACAGGGACCAACTTTTCTTTGGTACTTGTGTTTTATTTTAAATGATTTCGTTTCTCAAAGCTGTGTTGTCGTTTGGTGAAGTTTCATTATTAATAAGTAAAAGCTCAAGGAAGCAGCTGGTGTTTCCATCACCCATCTAGAGCTGTGTTTACACTGTGAATTTGCAGCACATTAAGTCCACTCTGGCCTATTTCKGATACAGACTCCAAGGGTGAAGGTGGGGTGAAACAGGTGTCCCTGCAGCTGTGTTTGATTCTGGCCGCTCAGTAGCAAGGACTCAGTTGTTCTGTTTTCATCGATGTGCCTGACATGTAGATGTATTGCTGCTCGAAAGGTGTTTTTGGCACAGTGGTCCTTCAACTGCTGTTGAAACAGAAATGCATAAATACACGTCCCAGCTGAGGAAGTCCCCAAAAGTCCTGGCAGCTGTTGAGGGGAGAAAACGGGAGAAATAAAACTTCAAACTTGTCCTGTTAACTTTTCCTCTAAACCTCTRGTGCCCATCTCTACTAGAAACAGGTTCTTGAGCTGCATCTGATTCTATGGTAGTTTTCTAGTTTTCTTAGGAGTCAGATCAATATTGGGCAAGTCTTTGCAATAGACAGATCAAGAGAGAATTTGAATCCAAGCTAATTTGAACAGCAACCAAAAGCACAAATAAAACCCATGGTATTTTGTGTGAAATACACGGATGGCCTCTGTCACTTAGATTAAAGSAATCAAATTCCTTGTTTGCTTCTACAAAATGGGCCTGATTGACCCTTTTCCTTTCTTGCCTCTGGTCTGTCCTGCTCATTTAAGAGCTCTTTTTAATACCGCTTTGTGTTTGCTCCCTGGAGCATAATACAAAACTAATGTCCTGACTGACTTGCTGCTTGGTGGTCAAGAAAGATCAATGGATGAATATTTAGGTAAGCATTAAGAACAATCCTRCTGTTGAATAGGGGCAGTTTCCCTTCTCACTGAACTGAAACTGTTTGCTAGGAGTTGTCCTCTTTTCCCTTGCCCACATGCGTCAGCAGTACAGTTGTATCCCAAGCCTGATCAGGCAGGGGAGATTTTTTTGCATSCAGGGATGGTTGAAACATATCACCAGGGTGCCTATATGTGCCCAGCATCAGAAGAGTTGGTAGCACAGACAATATGATATGACCCTCCACTTAGTTCAACGCTGTCAGCATGTGACTTTTCCCAGTGTAATCCTTCCTCAGTCAATTAGATATGATGTTCTTCAGATCCTGACTGAAACAGTTGCTTTGTGTGATTGTGTAGCTGCCACATCAGGTGAAGTGATGTATTGCGGGTGGTTCGGAGAAGGCCTTGGTGACATTTTGTCTTGAAGGCACAGATGTTTCTACCTGCCTAGTCCTGTTGGTGTTTGTGTCTAGTCAGCTTGGATAAAGAGAATTTATTCCCRAGTTCCACATAAGTGTTTCTGGGGAGCAAATGTTTTGCTTTTGAGAAGACTCAAGTACCAGATGTTTAGCATATCTCTGGAGATGTTATCCTTGATTCTATTTACAGTTGTTTTGCTTACTCTTTCATCCCAATTTAAGGACAGGAACACTGAGCTGTTAAATATTTACTGCGCATGTTTGCAGCCACGTCTGTGTAGTATTAGTTTTTAGAATGTTTATGTTGTAGTAGTGCATGGTAGGAGTCCATTCTGCCTGGGGACTACACAGAGGATGACTTTCCCAGCCCTCCAGAAGCTGCTCCTCTTAAGGAGTACTTAGATTCTTTTGCTGATTGGTGGTTCTTCTATACTTGATYGTGGTCATGAGGGAGCATCTTTATTTAGAGAGGAACATAAATAGTACTGCTGACATTCTTACCTTCCCACCCCTTCACAGGAAGCACTGGCACCACACAGGCGTGTAGTATAGGCCTGCTGTCTGAAATGTGTTTGTGAGAACTCCTTGTTAAAGCACTGACAGTATTATTGCTGGATCTACCTCTACCTCTGGGRTGGGAGGAACATCAAGCTGCAGTGAAGTAATTTACAGATCTGATGCAATCGCTAATTAATTTCTACATTCCTCCACCCTTGCAAATCAGGCCGAAGTTAGGGTTGTAGAAATGAATAAAACTCAGTCCAGAGTTTAAAAAGCATTAGGATTCTTTGGGAAGAGATGACCTATTAAGGAAAAACATTATAATGAATATTTATTATTAATAGCAATRTAATTTCTGTCCTGTAATATTGAGTTTAAATTTGACCTAACAGGAGTGACTTTCAGCAGAACATGCTCCTGTACTTAGGAGGCAGATGACTTTGCGGCATATTAAATGTGAATTATGGTCATCTTATTGTGAAACAAGTCAGATGAAGTGCTGTCTATCTTTAATCAGCCGAGCTAGCAAAGCCTGTGATGTCCTTTTTTTACATTTATTGGAAA